CTTGGCTGTGGGTCTTGGCTGTGGGTCTTGGCTGTGGGTCTTGGCTGTGGGTCTTGGCTGTGGGTCTTGGCTGTGGGTCTTGGCTGTGGGTCTTGGCTGTGGGCTTGGCTTGGGTAATGTTTAAGACTAAGACTTGGAAAAATTTTGAGCTTTTGGGCAAAGTGTGGGACTTTGGAAAGGTTTCGGGACTTGGGAAAAGTTTGGGTTTTGGCGAAAAGTTTGGGCTTTGGGAAGCGTTTGAGCCTTTGGAAAAAGTTTGGGGCTTGGGAAAAGCTTGGGGCTTGGGAAAAGTTTGGGCTTTTGGAAAAAGTTTGGGCTTTTGGAAAAAGTTTGGGGCTTTGAAAAAGTTTGGGCCTTGGCAAAAAGTTTGGGCTTTGGCAAAAAGTTTGGAGTTTTTGCAAAGGTTTGAGGCTTTGCAAAAGTTTGAGGCTTTGCAAAAGCTTGGGCTTTGGCAAAAAGTTTGGGACTTTGCAAAAGTTTGGGACTTTGCAAAAGTTTGGGCTTTGGCCAAAAGTTTTGGGCATTTTGAAAAGTTTGGCTTTTGGCGAGTGAGATGAGATCCAGTCTGGTCGCGGACCATATTATATGCCACTAGGGAAGTTGCTCCTCTGGGCCCCACGTGGCAAATATAACATTTTTGAAAACGAGAAAGAGAGAAGGAAAACACTCAAGCAGCTCGAAAGGCTCAAAGAGTTGCAACGTCGAACGTGAACGGGAATAAGAATGGGCGCTGTTCTTCGTCGCTGTTGCATTTTTTTAAGATGTGAAAGCCTTTACGCGTGAACAGAGGAGCGAGCCTATACCTGGCCCAGCCCGCCAGAGTAGCAAGCCAAGCCACGAACCCGAGAGAGCTCGCCGCTGCCGCTTCAGCCGCGAGCCCGATCGGGCCCCGTCTTGCATGCTTAGGACAAATCAGGCTCAGCCTCGCGAATCCGAGCCCGGGCCCGGCCTCGCGAGCGCGGCCCTGTGCGGGCTTGGGCCATAACGTGCCTTGCCCCGTGCGAGCCCAGCCGGCATCGCCGGCTCCGTGCGAGCTTGAGCCGGCCCCGTGTGAGCCCAGCCCCGTGCGAGCCCAGCCCCGTGCCAGTTGAGGTGGGCTCCGTGTGAGCCTGTCCCCGCGCGAGCCCGGACCCGAGCGAGCCCGGTCCCGCCGGCTCCGTGCGAGCCCAGCCGGCCCCTTGTGAGCCCAGCCCTGTCCCTTCGAGCCCAGCCCCGTGCGAGCTCAGCGGGGCCCGTGCGAGCGTGGTTCCATGTGAGTCCAGCCGGCCCCGTGCGAGCCGAGCGGGCACCGCGGGAGCCAAACGGGCTTCGTGCAAGCCCGGCCCCGTGCAAGCTCAGCCGCGTGTGAGCCTGGTCCTGTGCAAGCCCAGCCGTG